TATCTATCCATTTATTGACTCGCTTAGTCACTGGAAAATCTGGCTCCCTTCATTCCACCCAGAGGTTACAAGAGAGTGTCCTTACAATGGAATCAAATGTCATCTGGATATGCAATCTGGTATGACTGTTGAGTTCAACTGAACACAACAAACTTGGTGTTCTCTTGTTATTCTAAAAGTATGAGCACGTTTGAGTCATCCTCTAATATCTTTTCAAGGCTTCTTGGCTCAGAAATGGTCTTTTTCACCTTTCACCTATCCCCTCTCATTTGATTTATAATGTTCAATGTTGTATTTGAGTGAGAAAGAACATTATGACACAACAAAGCACAATTCTCAAAAACCAGCAGGAATTGCTACAGTCAAATTTAATTTTATAATTCAGAATGCAACAGAATTCCCAAACAATTTTTTATACAAACAGTTGTTTGTACCAATGTTGTTTAGGAACTTGTTTAAGCCGTTTCACAAATCTAACCCTCATTGTAATGCCCTTTTTGTTTTGTTTTTGAATTATTTCCATACAACAAATTCCCACTTGATCACTAAACATGTTTATTAACATATATTAAGGATATTATAATTGGGTTCAAGCGTAGATTTTATATTCAAGAGTCTTTCCAAAATGGGCAGATCTGAGTAGTAACTTGGACTATACTTTGCCAAGAAACAAAACAAATACAGTTGAAACCAGAAGTTCACACACACAAAAAAGTCTGGCCTATTCCTCTTCACAAAACCAGAACCCAGTTATGTGAAGAGGAATAGGCCAAGTTCTCCCACACCTTTTTAAATCTGAAACTTTGTTTTCTCTGTTGCCATTTAGGCCATGTGCTTGGGGGTACTGTTCATTTAGAAGACCCGAATTCACCCAAGCAAGTCTTGACATCAAACATTTCCACATACAGTTCCTTCTTCATGACGCCAACTCATCCTTGAGTTAAACAGGTCCACAACATGAGACCGCCACCCCCATGATTTACAATCTCTCTCTTTACACCGTGTATGCAAGCATCTGGGTTAAACAGCATGTACAGTAGCAATATAAAGGTTGAAACAAGGCAAGAAAGTAATAGTTATGTAAGGGATAACGTATAGTAGGCAGGTCATTATCGGAAAATAAGTACCGACAGGGCGAAGCGGACCCCGAGGCGCGGAGGGGTCTGCTTCCGCCTTGAAGGTACTTATTTTCCAATAATGACCTGCGTAATATACGTTATCCCGGTCATTACACGGCTTTATACCAACAGAAAACACAACATAAACTTCAGTCCACTTTTAGGAATGCCAAACGGTTTATTTAAAATAAGAAAGAAAATAAAATAGTTCCCAAAGGCTTTCCCGTGGCTATGCTAGCAACAGTTAGGCTATCAACTTCCAAACTATAACTCCCTGGAACTGCATGAAAACTGAACAAAGAATTCTGAACATCAGCGGTGAGTGACCCATACATAAACCTAACCTAAATCCATAATTCGATCCTCTGCAAATGTGACCTAAAATGTGCCGGTATCTACTGCCGGGTTTTTCGGGATCACCTTTTCTCGCATTACATCAGTGTTTTTGTCATGAAAACGTAAACGGAAAATTCTGAAAACTTCCGTGCACTTGTATTAAGAATGTATATGTATATTAACATTTAATTGCGTTGATTGATTGGCATTTGCGTTTAATGAGCGTGGCAAGCTCCGGAGTGGCTGGAACTACTTCCGGGTTTTTCACGATCGTTTTTTGACGCAGATACATAGTATTTTTGTCATGAAGACAAGAGCAGTAAATTCTGAAAATAGGAAGAAGAAGAAGAATTCCTTTATTTGTCCCACAGTGGGGAAATTTCGATGTTGCATCGTACATATAGGACAGTAGTAAGAGCACACAGGGATCACACACAATATATACAAAGAAGTAGTAGCTATGTTTCTTAGCTAACATAACTAGCTGTAGATGCTGAAAAAGCTTCAATACCAGTCAAAATATATATGCAGTAGTGCAGTTATATACTGTACAGTTAAATAGTGCAGATAAAAAGTATATAAGTAAAGTGACATGAGGTAAAGTGACATTGTTCTGTGACATTCTGAATTTGCAGTATTGACACGTGTGTGAAGAATGTATAAGTATTCTCCAATTAACATTCAAGTGTGTTGATTGGTATTTGCGTTTATTGAGCGTGGCTAGCTCCTGAGTGGCCGGAACTACTTGCGGTGTTATCCACGCATTTGAAATACAAGCAGAGAGTGCGTTGCCATGGGCAGCGGTCATTATTGTTTTGAGAGGTCCGTTATAGAAAATAATGACCGGTAGAACGTTTTGAAAACACATTCAAATCAATAGAGCATTCTACTGCTGCTGTGAGGAGCCGTATAATAAGATAACTTAATATTTAAGATGCCTTAAATATTTGCTAAATATTTTATTTCAAATTGTTGTGTGTTGAAAGGTTGCAAAGATTACTGCCTCAGTTATTCAGGCTGTAATTGCAGTTTTCCATTATGAGAGCGATTGCACATCCGATAAACAAGGAGCGTTCTGCTGTTTACTGTTTACAGGCTCTAAATGGAGAGCAGTAGTACAGCAGCAGGGGCAGTAGCAGCAGCAGCAGTACAGCAGCAGGGGCAGTAGCAGCAGCAGCAGTGCAGCAGCAGGGGCAGTAGCAGCAGCAGCAGTACAGCAGCAGGGGCAGTAGCAGCAGCAGCAGTACAGCAGCAGGGGCAGTAGCAGCAGCAGCAGTACAGCAGCAGGGGCAGTAGCAGCAGCAGCAGTACAGCAGGGGAGGCGACACAAAATGCTCACTTGCTTGTCTGTTTCGAAAGAGTCTTTTAGGGAAATATTCAATGAATATTACTCTGTGTATTATGAATATTACACTATACTATATTCCATCTCACATGTAACTCACCAGGGGCCTTTTTTTTGAACACTTTTTTTTTTACATAAGCCAAAACGTCCTCAGAATTTCTCAATTAGAGTTTGTCAGTGCATGAATCACCTTCTTCTTCGTACTTTAAAGCTACAGTAGACAGACTCAATTATTGGAAAAGTGGAAAGCTACAGTACATATAAAGGAAATTGGAACATACAGAACTTGTGCAACATGAAATACTTATATAGAACTAAATTGTCTGCAAAAGCACTTTGACAATAACATGCTGAGTCCTGCCGACCAGAGCGCACGTTGTCATGAATTCTTCGCTTTTTCCGCAGAAGTGACCAGGGCATCTGTCGGCTGCTGAAGGACCACAGCTTTATGATTATATATTAGTGATGTCATTAGGTTAAAATCATTATTAATGTCTAATGATGTGATAAATTATGTTCATAAATTGTAACATTTGATACTGTGACATCGCTGGTAAGTTAGTACAGAGCACTCCTGATCCGTCTCACAGGAGCCCTTTGAGCTGAGACTATGTATTTATTTATTTGTTTAAGGACGTCCCCTTGAGATGACCAATCGAAGCTGTCCTTGAGTGATACAACTTCAATATTCCAAAAAAAACAAACTCCAGTTCATTCTTTTGATGTGGACTCATTATAACTGCTTTAAGAACTCCACAAATAGTAGATTTACCGCCACATAGGGAAAGACCTTTAATCTTCAGTTTGCTCATAAATTGTGCCCTTAATGCCAAACTAAATATTTGTCATGGGCCTTGTCTGCGCTGCTTAAAAGCTTTTCTAATTAACAGTGGGCCGAGTTTTGCAGATGCGTAATGGCAGCGGATGTAAGTCTTGTGGCTGCTGGGAATCTCTAAACAGAATGTACTTACTCACGTTATCTTTAAGCCGCGTTAAAGGAAACATAGGTTTTTTGTCTTGTACCACACATAAATTATGGGTGTACAATGTAATTTTGACCTTTTAATTCCCATGATGACTTTGTCACTTGTGAATTCATAATAACAAAAATATATATATATTTAGTTCTCAGAGGAGTGGTGTTTTGAGCTTTCCTTATTTTAGAAAACATGGGACGTTACAGGACATTTAAAGGCCCGTAATCCTACGGACTTTTTTGTATTTCTTTTGTGCTATGTGTGCTTTTGTGCTTTTGTGTTCTTTTTTGATTTTCTAATCTGCTGTTGGTGAATCAAATAGTCTGTGATGTCCTTTGGGAAAACTGCTTTTGTGATGTACAAAACTAAATCCCAATTCCAATAGATTCCAAGCTGCACATTGTATTTCCTTCATGCGCACCTCTTCTATACTGTAAATAGCGGTTTGTGATATCAAATAAATTGCTTCTAAATCCATTTCCAGTCTCCAGTCAAATCACATTATTTACAACTATGTCTTCAGATAGACCTCACCATGATCTGTATTTTATGTGATAGCAGATTATATAAAATAAGATGAAAATGTTATAAGTGGGTTAGGGTTAGGGTTAGGGTTAGCCTATAAGAGGCTAACCCTAACCCTAATTGTACATGTCTAAGAGGAGGACTCTTAGACATGTACAATTTACAATTATATTTATCAATGTTTGTGTGGTTGGATGTATTTCTGCTGCTGGACCCCTGAATGTCTCCGACAGTATCTAACATACCACAGGATGGATGTGTTTCAATAATGCAGATCTTCTCATTATCCTTGATTCATATTTATCCATATATTTTGATGCATATCCACATGTATTTATCCATATACATTTGAATAACATTCTAAAGATCATGTTTAAGGTCACAGATTCACACACAAACAATGCATCATATTTGTCCTTTAAAGTATGAATGAATCCGATCAAGTATTATTATACAGTCTGGTTCAGATTAGCCACATCACATTTTAATCTTTTAAGAAGTCGGTGCCAAACAGTCCACCGTGCACCTGCGCTCGCTAACACGTTTCCACCGCGTCACAGACTCTGGACATCTGCAACAGGTGTTTGAGAAAGTGCAACCCTTACGAACAAAACTCCCAGCTGAAGTTATCCTGCATCCCACCCTGCCTTTTCTTTTGAAGCTGCTCCACATTCAGGACTTTCGGTGGTTAGCATTATCTCACCCCTCCGGCCAGAGCTCCAGGAAGGCCAGTTTTTGGGGCAAGTTTCCGATCGCTGTGGGAACCAGGAGTGTTGCATACTTCAGACCTCGGAAAATGCACTCACGTTGGGTATGGTGGAGCTGGTGTCGCAGCCTCCCGGTTCCACCCTGCACCACATAATTAAACTAGGAGGGACGTTTGTGCACACATGAAAGGGACAACCTTTCCACCAGGCTCTAGGGCAGTGCGTAATTGCTTTTTCTGGAATGGGACACGTTTTTAGGAGCGGTCCAGAGCTTGGCCAGAGCTGGTGGCAACAAAGTTCAGTGATTCAAATTGACAAAACCAAGTCATATTATTTGTTTGTCTTTTGAATTCAAGGTCTACTGCCATTTGTAAGAATTTGTATTAACGTGCTAATTTACACCATCAGTGTCTTGATTTCAGATTACTATTCTAGATTTAAGTTTAGCAAGATAATGGAACTTATGGAATACTTATGTCACTGAGGTAAGTTCTGTAAAGTTATTAGAGCAATATAATATTTTGTCAAATCGTCTTTGCTGCTTTTGACTGTTTTCCCATTGTTATTGACAAACTCAAAGCTGGTTTTATCTTGAAAAAGCTGTTGTTTGGTGTTTGAGTCATTTACACCTTTACGTGAGAAGTGATCAATCATACTATATCCATTCATAATTTATACATGAATAAGGATCAGCCAGCAACGTAGATCATAATTAACTTGAAGGTTACGTGAAATGCCAAATCATCATTGAATATAAACAGACCTGAAGCTGGTAGCTAATTCAAATTGGATCAGAAAGTTGTAAAAACTAGTACAAACAAGTGCTACATTGATTCAAATACTCTGTTTTAAAATTAGATATGATTTTGACAAATCCTCAGTTCTGTTTTTGTCTTTAAATAGACAAAAGTATTGCGGAGATTTCTCCGGCCATATGACGTACTGTATTTCACAACTGTGTACACTGTGTGCTATGTAAATATTGCAGAATGTAATATCCCACTTTAATGTTGGTACATTCGATCACTTTCTTACTTCATGTTTAGTTACGGATTTTCTCAAGCATTTTTCCCCAAAGTGAAAACAAGTCCTGCATCATATTTGATCTTCAAAATGTTTCCTCAATTTATTACCAAGCTTCCATCAATGTTCAACCAGTGACTTTTGTTGTTTATTCGATACTAAATCCAATAATCTCAATCTCCCCAATACTGTTGCTTCTCCGGTCGCGCACCCGCGATGGGATGTTAGCATATTCCAGCTGTTTGGAATTCCGACAGTGTCCTGGGAGTGTGCTGAGCGTTTTAAAACTTGTTAGCTGCTTTCATGTTTTATTTGAAAGTCTGTGATGGCATTCTTCGGACAATAACAGGTCCCTGGGGTGACTTAGAGAGCGTATTAAACACTGCAGTCCTGCTGACAGCTCTGAGTGATGGCATTGCGCTGCACGGCCCGGATTAGAACAGTTGGAGGAGCGTGTGTTACTGAGTCTCTGGGATGAACTCTGCAATTTTCAAAGCCTGAGTATTTGTAGTAGTAGTTGTATTATTTTAGATTTTAAATAAATGGATTCACAGCTGTATTTATCGCCAGAAATGGTGCAAGAGTAAAGTTATCCATCGTCGTTTGGCCCCAAATATCAAGAAATTGAAGCCGGAGCAAGAGGAATGTTTATTGATTTCATTGCTGGCAAAGATGTTGCTGTACTCCCCATGGGCTCCGTTAGCGTCAAAGGAGATGCTAGGCTAAATGCAAAACACTAGCGACTTCCTCGGACGCATTACATACGTCACGGTAAACTCAGATCCAATCATTTCAATGTGCAACAGGAGTTAGCCTCTCCAACCTGTTCACGGAGCTCAATGCAACAAATCTAGACCTTAGTACGAAATGGAATTTGTACGATGGTGTGGTAAGACTAGGTTACATCTGTGTACTTCAAATCTGTGTATTTGAATAGGAATTGCTACATTATTGAACAGGTAACTGGATTTTAACACACTCAGATACACTCACAGTCATCCTAAACTATTAGACATGTTTTAGAGGTTTTTAGAGAGCTCCTGGAGGAAACCTAGGCAATCACGGGCAGACGATGCAAACTCCACGGCGTCTCGCACAGGAATTGAACCCAGGTCGGACCTTCTTGCTCTGAAGCTCTGTGTTTACGTTTATTTATCGTATTCTACATCATGACAGAAAAAAATATTTGTCTCCAGAGTATTCTTTAATACCAGAAGTTCACATACGCTTCAAAAAGCCATATAAAGTTACTTGTGCAAGTGAGGCAACCTATACAAACATGACTCAGTTACACCAGTTCAGACAGAAAGAATGGGCCAAAATACCAGCTTTTTAGAAAGCTCAATTGATGATGTGGCACTGAGAAGAAAAAAAAAAGATCTCTTCAACAGGATCCTTTTTTATGAAGTCAAATTTCAAAATATACTTGATCTTACTGTACCTTACTACATTAACTTTTACCCTGTGTGTGTGGACTTAGGTTTACAACAGAATATCAATGTCTTTGTCCAAAACGTTGTATGGCGTGGGAAGAGTGCCCAGACAGCACAGATGATGGGGAAGTTGGCGGTGATGGATGCATTTTCTGTTTGTGTGTCTTCAGACCACATTTAGATCTTAATAATACACACCTAAGTGGAAAGTCAGAATATAGCACCAGCCACCCTCCCCTCTTAGGACCTCTTCTCCGCTGATTAAAGGAGCTGCCTCGAGAGCCAATCGTCGGCCCACTGATAAAACTCCTTTTAATCCACCGAAGAGAGCTTTGGGTTTGGGTCCACTCAACCTTGCCTCTGGACAGTGTTATGGCCGTGAGAAGCTAAAACGGCAGCCGCACTCACTTGAAGCTTCCCCTGATAACATCTGCCACACTGACGAAAGATGGAGTCCGTCACTCACTGGGACCTGGTGGGAGGGTCCAGATGGCCTGGGCTAATGGCGACGAGCAGAGAAAGGTGCATGTGTGGATGGACATTGGAGCATCAGTGAAGTGGAGGCTGCTTTTAGACGTGCTCTTGGGTCAGAAAGGCCCGATATAAAAGAGTGTCATGGGGTGGCAAGTACTGTAGGTGGGACCAACCCTTTATGGTGGAGGTATAGTTTAGGTTGCAAGTTTTTTAGGTCCCTGTGTTTGACCTAAAAATTGTTTGATTCTCTAATCTGTTGTTGGCGAATTGTCAATTTTGTAAAGTCCTTTAAGGCAACTGCTGTTTTGGAGCTAAACAAAATGACTGGAATTTAATCTAATTGAAGTTGTCTGATAATATCTTTGTCCATCAAAGTTGGTAAGAACAAATATGACTACTTTTTAAATTGTTTTTTGTCCGTACAAATTATTATAGCATCAATGGGAACTTGTTTTTTTTAAATAAAAGCACATTTTAAAAATCTGCAGCTCAAACTACTATAAGTCCTTCTGTGAGGAGAAGGAGAGATGTTAGTTGAAAATGCTGACATTTGAAGTTTATAGAGCACATGCAAAACAGTTCGTACATACATGTCCCACACAAGAGTAGAGCGACCAAAAATAAAACTACAAAAATGTGTTGATGGATGAAGCTTCAGCTTCACAATGGTCATGAGCTTTGGGTGATTACAGATAGGACAAGATCGCTGATAGAAGTGGATAAAATGGGGAGCTCAGTCACACGGAGGGAGCTCAGAGTAGAGCCGCTGTCAGGAGGCATTCATTTGTTTCGGATGTCTGGGACCGTGGGGAAGACAGGGGACACGTTGGAGGGACTGTGTCCCTCAGCTGGCCTGGGAACGCCTCCGGATTCCCCTAGATGATAGTGGAGTTTGGCCGTCCCTGCATAGACTGCTCCCACAACACGGCAACGGATAACGCGGAAGAAAATTGATGGATGGGTTTTTGTAAGCAGGCATGTTTTATTGCATTTTTAGTGTGGACATTTATCGCATGGTTTTATTTATCGCATGGTTTTATTTATTGCATGGTTTTATTTATTGCATGGTTTTATGCTTTTATTAGTGTTTCATTTGCTTTTAAAGTGATGCCTTGCTGCCCCAAGCCACACGACTGTCAGCCAATGGCTGCGCTCAAAGACTAATCAGCACACCTGCGACTGAGCGGGCAGGAGACAGATAAGGGCGGACTGGGAGCAGGAAAGAGGCAGAGATGGGACCAGGTCGGAGACGGACGGAGATGGCGTGACAGAGGAGAGAGCAGACGGGGTCGGGAGAGCGGAGCACGAGGGTGGACAGCACAGCAGAGCACAGCACGGCACGGCATGGCACCGCACCGCACCTCACCCAACACGGGATCTGAACTTGGACCGGGACCTGGACCACAGGCATCGCCATCGCCCCACGAGTCAACAGAGAACACCACAAAGCTGAACTACCGCAGGAGGCAGAGGACGCTCTGCCTTCGCGTGTAAGTACCTAAACGCATTGAGTAGTGGTGTTCGTGAAGTAGCCTTTGGCGCAGGGACTCGTTGGGGTGTATGTGCGCTTGTCTGTGTGGATGTGCTTTGCCTTCAGGGTCCGCGGCACCAGAGAAGACGCGATCCACCGGGTTGAGCACCGCGAGGCGTTATCCAGACGGCGGCCGAGTGTAAAACTCGGCCTCGCTGGTAAGTGTGGGAAAGTAGCGGTGCTCATGTTTCGTTGGGGTGCATGTACGCAAATTACGCAGACACGGGGAGAACATGCAAACTCCACTCAGAAAGGCCCTGTTCCTGCCGGGATTCGAACCCAGGATCTTCTTGCTAAGAAGCGAGAGTGCTATCCCCTCAGCCAGAGTGCCGCCCGAACATAACAAGGATACACAATCATAGCAGATACACAATTGGTTCGTTGTGACCTACACAAGGCCAGATCACTTGTATAGCTATCTATTTCCCATGACGGTTAAACTGATTTTTCATACAATTCCTAAATATTGACTTTTCAGATAAAATGCAAACAGCACTTTTGGCAACAATACACACGCAAATGAACAGTGGCCGACTCAAGTCGCAGCTTTACTCGAGTTTATCCAAACACAAATGAGCCGGAAAGGACTTTGACCTGGCTTTGTTCTCTTTCAAAATGGCCGCTTCTTTCAACACACCTCACCCTCCTTCCCGCTCCATTCTTTCTGTGTGTACTTACCACTTTCACCAGTTTACATGGCCGTTCCATTAGAGGGATTAAAATAGTTTGTGAGATCCGACTGCGCTGTCTTTTCTTCTCCGTGTTTGGGGTGTATACAGAGAGACAACAGTCCATTGTAGTGACTTTTAAGACAAAACATTCCAACACCAACTAATTTGCACAAACAAAATTATCAAATGTTATGTATAATTATAAGAATAAAACATATTTTTGCAATACAGTAATGGGGAATATGAAGAAAACAGAAAAAAGTAAAGTTTGTGGAAGTACAAGCTCCCAGCTAGGACACATGGTTTTAGTCTTGTATTTCAGTGTATTTTTAATGAATACATAAAGTTGTAACACTCACCCTGCATGTGGAGCGTCCTGAAGTCAGGGGCCTGGTCTGATGTGTGGCGGTGGCGCGTGTCTGCACTGGCGCGCACTTTGCAGATAAAGGAGTGTTGTGACAGTGCAGGGAGGCAGAGGTGCAGGTCAGCTCCACAGGTGAATGCCTCAGCTGCTCTTGCACTTTCTCCTCGGCTCTGAGAGAAGGACATCGGATACATTTCATTCACGTTATTATCGCTTCCTTGGCTTTAAAAGAAGACGTTTCATTCTATACTGTGATTATTTCTGTTACATATTAATTAATTTTGGAATCTCAATATTAATGTCAAAGTAATGTAATGAAAAAAACAAGTCCCTCATCTACTCAGTCCGGCCGGAGGGATCTGTACTCTGCCCCTTTAACAATGGGAAAGCGGCCTAAGGCTCAGCGCAGATGAAGATAGCATTTTTTTTGGCTGCACAACGCTATTATTTGTTATTAAAGTCCTATAGAGACCCCTAGTCATTGTTTTATTGGTGGATTGTCCTATTGCCAAATCTAAAGATAATTTTGTGACGGAGTAACTGCTATGTCCATCTGCAAGTAAACACGTGCGCTATTAGGAGAATCAAAACGGTTCCAAGCATAGCCCCTGGTGGAGTGGAGGGTCTGTGTGTCAGTGGGGTAATCCATGTAAAGTGGAGGGCCAAAGGGTAAGCCCGCTCCACACCACCCACCCAAGCAGCATGACTGAAGGGTGTGCGGACATGCCTGAGCACACAATCAGATACTTCGGCAAAAACCATACACAGAACATACTCAAGTTTGGAAGGGTTGAATTCAGGATATAAAATTTATCTTTGGAGAGATTGCACAAGTTGGGATTGAAAAACAGCTTCTAACATAAAGAGAAAATTTGGATTTCACAAAACTGAACTGATTTGCAGCAATGCTATTAGAAATGCTTTTCCTTTCATTTTTTCTTTTTGAATTCAGAAGTTCTGTTGGTAGAGGATTGGCCTTTGGGCCTAAATGTCGTAGGTTCGAGCCCACCACGAGACCTTCTCAACTGACTCCGACTGATGTCTGCTGTCATCGTGTCCTTGGGCAAGACGCTTAACCCCACTTGGCCTGAAGCCCCAGCTGAAAGATCAAGGCTATGCTCTCACCGACAGAGCAGCCGCCCTCCTGTGGACTCACCCCCTGCAGGAGGATCAGTGAGGGGCTGGTGCTCAGTGAATTGGGTGCAGCTCTGATTACAACTCCCCCAACCCAGAAATGAATTAAAGGGAAGAACATGGATGGATGGATGATATCAAAATTTCAGATACTACTGAAAAAGTCGAATTCAGAACGTACAATTTAGTTATAGTGAGATCGCGGTGAGATTGAGATAATTTGGACTTCACAAAACTGAATTTACTTGGAGCAATGCTGTTAGAAAAGCTTTTCCATTCATTTGTTTCGGTTTGATTTCAGAAGTCTTCTTTCTATCTCTTGTAAAGTGTTAGGGCTGGTTGCATTCCTGGTTATGAATAAATAAAAAATGCATGAACTACACAAATCAAAATGAGAGAAACCAAGATACAGACATAATGCCCACGACTGTCTACTCTTCAAACCTGACTCCAGATTTAATCATAATGTCTCTCTCGCCGTTCATCACGACACCATTCATACGCCTATATCAAAACACATTTATTTTGTAAATGGCAGACAGCAATCAGACATCCTGCCATCAGATTCACTTCACTCTGCACTGGTGAGAATGGCCCCTGATGAACTGACAGAGATCTTCGCTCTGTATGGGCTCAAACTGATGAATGAAAGAGCAGTTAAAACACAGATTACAAAGTCGCAAAACATATGACCTAACTCCTGCATTTTGGTTCAATTGGTTCTTGATTTTTTAGCGGATGTATTGTATCTTTAGCTTGGTGATGTCACTTGCTTGTCTCTGATGTAGATGGATAGGTTTAGAGGGATACGGAGAAATATTCCTGCAACAAACAACAAGCCGGTTGAGGAGCTGGAGGAAGTGAGTGTGGTTGGGGAATGCCTCCGTGATACGCCGAGGGATAAAGCGGGAAGAGATGGAATGGATCATCAATCATTGTTTCTTTGTTGGTATCCAAAGTAATGCAGCAGACACAGTTTTTGATGATGTTGTTTTCTCTTGCCATTCACACACACACACACACACACACACACACTCGCACACACAGAGAGGTAGGGCTGTTTAGATCGCGAAAGGGCAGAGCGAAGAGACATATGGCAGTGCTAAATACGTAAAGTCTGCTTCAACTACTTTGCAGTTTTCACACACACAACACACACATGTCCAGGACCACAACAAAACACCCATCAAATACATACACATAAAAAATTCGACAATACGAAAACGATATTGTTGAGTGTACTGTTTCAGAGGTCAATGGTACTTCAGAAACTAGGGCTGTAATTAAGTAAGTTAAATTAATCAGTTGTTTGGATCCTGAAAAGTCAGAAAATAGGAGATTTGTGATTCTCATGGAGAACGTCTTCATAGATATGAGTTTACATGTTTGGTTGTTTGATCAAAAGTACTTTGTAAACACATTTTTGTTCCATTTTGCAGTAATAGAATTATCTGAGTCATTAAAACCACAGCAGGTTTAAGTCTTGTCACGACTCACGACCTTCTTTTAGGCGCTGTGAGTCCTGCTCCCTGCTGAGTCCAATCTCAGTTCAGTTCAGTTTCAGTTTATTACAAATTCAAAACAAAAGCATGCAACATTCATTCATAATTAGTGACATTGCATATTTGTAAATGGGACACCCTTGAAGCAACGTTAATCTTATATATGGGGCCCAAGACTGAATTGAACCTGAACTGAATTGCAAAAAGAAAAGTTCTGATGAATCAATTGGAGGTCATCAAGGGCACGGTCATATAGCTTTAAGTGGGATTTAGGTTGTGCTTGTGACCGCAGCCAAAGAGTGTTGCATACAGTCGAAGGTCCACATGTAAACTTGGAATGTCTGACCTCCATCTCAGCTCCAAAAGGGTTTCAGGTGGACTAAATTTAAAATATTACCCCTATATATCAGACAAAAGGATGTCTCATTTAATAGAACTTGCATGCGGAAGCCAGATCCCGTCAGATCTCTGAAGCAGGGCAGGGCCTGGTTAGTACTGTGATGGGAGACCTCTGGGAATACCTGATGCCACAGTGGGGCAGATGCGGCTGTAAAGTGCCAAACTGCTGTTGTGTCCTTAGGCAAGACACTTCACCCACATTGCCTATAATGAGTCTGGTGAGTGTGTGGGTGAATGGTTGGTGGTGATCGGATGGGCCAATGGCACATACTTGTTGCCTCACTTCTGTCAGTGTGTGGCTACAGCAGTAGTTTAACACAACCATGTATGGAGTGAAAGAATAATGGCACGTGAAGCGTCTTTGAGTGTCTGATGCATTATTATTATTATTATTATTCTGGATTCTAGTACATGCGTTCAAGTCAAATACTATAGCCACAGAACGCTTTCCACGTTGTACAGATAGCAAATAAATAAGCTATGACAATCACCGTTTGCCCAAAACAGGTGGCTCATTTGGCTCACAGCCGGTAGCTCACGTCCAGGACACTTTATCTAAATGACCTGAGTAACGCTCCGGGAATGAGAGCTTGCTTTGTTGGTCACGGGTGAGGTATGCGTCACAAAGATGTAGATGGCATAAAGAGTCCTTCATAGGCTGGCACTGTTTGGATTTTCCAGGAAGCTACTACTACTACTACTACTACCACTACTTAGTCATACACTCGAAGTCAGCCCCAGAGTATGGCCAATAAACATGACGAAAACTACAACTAACAAGCATTTACGAGGCCCGACAGCACTTATGACTCACCAGTTAACCTTTTAAACTGTGTGATGGAGGTAGAATTGTGAATAGAGGTGGATTAATCAAGTGCATATGTTTGGTTATAAAATTACCTCGTAAAATTGTGCAACTTTCAACATAACTAACAAAGACCGCTTTACGAGTGTTTACGAATGGTTTCTGGATTATTATCAAGTTGTTATTGTGTTATTTTGTCGGTGTAGTGTGTAGTGCATAGTCAAATCTATGACAAACATGGATCATTATGTTCCTATACACCGTTATGTACGGCACATCTGTGGTCGAACTATAGACAATCCAGCATGCGGAAGCTAAATGTGGCATACAATGACTGCCTAAGAATCCTGTTGAAAAGGTCTCGGTGGGAGAGTGCCGACCTATTTGTTTCTTCTGGGATTCAAACTTTTCGTGCTGGCCTAAGAAACCTGATGTACAGATTTATTTGTCGACTGAATCAATGTCAGAATGTGATCATAATGAGCCTGACCAACATCAGAATCAGTGCCACACGCTATCAGTTTGAACTGTGGCGTCACTGGTACAATAGTCTGCTGTAATCATGTATGCTTATTTTTATGATTATTTTTGTTTTTGTGTAATGTCTTTCTTATCTGGACTTCGTGTCTGTAATAAAGTTTAATAATATAACATTTGAAATCTCAACAATGATCTGACACGCAGTGTTATAATAAAAAGTCACTGGTTTCAGTATTAAATGCAGCTGTACAATCACATGTATAATCACATATTGATCACGATCATTCACAGTAGATACTTTTTTAATGTAAAATTGTCTGCATTGGTATACCAGCGCTAATCTTAAACATGTACAAGACAGATTTTTTGTATTATTATTTGCAATAATATCAGTATAGACAAGGAACATATTAGTTATAGGCTTTTGGTGGAGGTTGATTAGATATATTGGTATTGTACAATCACATGTACAATCACATGTATAATCACATATTGATCACGATCATTCACAGTAGATACTTTTTTAATGTAAAATTGTCTGCATTGGTATTGTTAAACAGATTTTTTTTTTAAAGGAGCATATGAGCAAATCAAATATGTACGAATGACTTTGAATTGTCAAGAAAAGTAAAAAACATTTATAATATGTTCCAAAACACGTTCTATATCCAATCTGAACTGTTGTTTACACATAGAAAACAATAATTTAACTGAAGAAAAAGGTAAAATGCAGTTGTTTGAACTCATCTCATGGACACAAGATTCCAGTTCTAAACAGGAAACCCAGATTCCTGCTGTGTACCACTCCAACCACAGAGAACATTCTAATAGCTCACTCATGTTCATTGTGCAATGCAGGCTGTGGATATATCTCTGTATGTCATGTTAAATATATTTGTCCATTTAAAGTCATTAATATACAAAAAAGAATGTTGTAATGTTCTATTATTCCATATGCCACAGTGAGGTTGGCCCCTTAAATAAACACTTCCTAATGCAGCTCATACTTGGTCAGTGTCTGGATGGATTGCATACGGGACATTATCTGATTAAAGTATGTTTGATGTCATTTAGAGTGGAAGAGTACACCCAAAGAAGCGATGTTTCCACAGAAAAAAACAGGAAGCCACAGATGGAAGCCACACAGTACAGATGTTCTGAAACTTTTTCAGAGCCATAAAAATGTTGAATAACATCCATGTGCCTTCTTCTAAATCGTGTATTGTGGCTGTACACCAATTATATCTTATACACTGATTATTTGGACAGTTTCAGAATAATAGAAAAGTTGCCAAAAGAACCAATCTGGTCTTCTTATTGAAAAGCGTAACCAATTTCTTCTTTAAAGTGGAATAATCGGTTAGTGAAAGACAATGTATTTGTTGCTCATCCCATTTGCAAATTT